TCTGTCGCGCAGCCCCTCTGGAAAAAACGGAAGTGTTTCTACCGCCTGGTTTTGTCTTGATTTCGACGGGGACTCAAACCCAATGGTCAGGCATTACAGCGCTGAGAATAGACATGTTATGTCTGTAGAGAGAAGCCTCCGGTTGTGGATCTCGAATGTGAGTAGAGGAACTTTTTAGGCCTTCTTTTTCAACTTGTCCTTGGTATTTATTCTGCTGCTCGACGCGCCAACGTTACTCAAATCGACCTTTGTAAGAGTTCTTTATAGCTTCTCCGCAGGGTAAAGCAATTCAGTAGTTTTCTCTCTTTGCTCGCTGGCATGTTTAAAGGTGTGTTATAAAACAGCTACACTTACCCCCCTCGCTTCTTTGCAAAGAGTAAAACACACAGATCAAACAGAAACACAAAGTTGCTTTGTACCCGTCTGAAATTCTTTGGTGAAAAGAACGTGATTTTCTCGTAATCACATGGAGGTCTGTTCATGGCTAGTAGACAAATTCTTCTTCTCTCGTTGTCTAGCAGGATTGCTAAATGATGACGAGTTGGTACAAGATGCTTTTTCCACTTACTGCTTAATCAGAAACTGCCCCACCAATATGAAGAATCAGCTCAAAGATTGTCAGCCAACCCCTTTGGAGAAAACTCTAGTGAATCAGCAACAATAGTTAATAGTAGGTTTAAGCTGGCTGAGTTGGTTGTTGTTTTGTTTGTTTGTTGTGAAAGTGGAGCTGCTGTGATGGAAAGACAAGTGTTTGAATGAATCTAATAAGTATTTCTTAATCTTAATCTGACAATAAAGGTATCACCATCCTGGCGTGGCCCAGATACGCTGCACCTGGTATAGCTGAGTCCTTGCTGCAGCCGCCAGGATTCAAGTCCGACTTGCTTGGCCGCTTTGCTGCCTGTCCTTCCATCTCCCCTTTCCGTGACATTCTCAGCTGGTCACTATTCGCAATAAAGATGGCAATAAAAAGCCCCCCCCCCCTCGCCCCTCCCCTCCCAAAAAAAAAATAAATAAAAATATATATATATATATATATATATAAAAAGTCTTGTCTCATGTCTACAGCTCTGTGGACTGCTTATGTTTTAGATTTTAATCTTTTGGGGCAACTCTCAAGCCAAGTCAGAAGTCTACATAAGCAAATTGAAAATCATCCACAGGCTACTAATAAAACTATTAAAAAAACGGTCCAATTAATGAGCGTACAACTCCTATTTTTACCCATCATCTCTATGTGCCTGAATTAATTCTCATCCTAAAGCCAAAACTCCTACTTAATTAGTCTGAAAATAATGCCGTTTGGCATAGATGTATGGTAATGGCTAAAAGTACACAAACACCCACATGGACATTAAAAATACAGACAATACAGACAGAGTCCTCCTATCCCTGCTATTTATGCACATAGTTTCAGAAAAACACACTCCAAAACAAATTATCTACGGTTGCAGTGGGCAGCTCCCAGGTGCAAACGAGTTTAGCTGTGTAAATATAAAGCCAAGCGTTTCTGAAAAACTGTGTGCATGCTCAGCAGGCCACTGCCACATAAATCAAGATAAGAAGAAACAAAAAAACAAAGAAAACATAAACAAAGCAAAAACTCTGTGTTGCTTACTAGATGAGAGGCTTGCGGCAGAGCACCAGGGCGTCGTAGAGCACGCACACTCCGAACACGGTGATGCCCGTCTCCTTGACCAGCATGGCGCAGGTGCCCAGCAACAAACTGACCAGCAGACACCCCACTGACACCGTGGAGGGCAGACAGTCTTCAGAGACACACACACCCACACTCCTGAGGGACAGAGGAGGTAGAACAAAGGTGATTTATAATGACTGATGATAACAGGGTAGCCAAAGCCCAATCACCGAGGAAGGATGGCAAGGAGGACAAGTGACTCACTGTTCATTTAGTATAATACTCATGTTGTAGGATGATTAAAATAACTGCAATGAACTGCTTCATTGTGTTAATTAAGATTTGTGTCTAGGCTGCAAATATGAAATGTCACATTCAGGAATCAGACAAAGTAACATAAGCATTAATGGAATAGAAGCAACCTAAATGCCTAAATGCCAACCTGAATGCCAATTAGCAGCATTTGTCAGAAAACAAAAGAGGCCTGGCAGCTCTTTGATATGTGAGACTTCAGAGCTATGTGATTTGGACTGTCACTTATTTTTTAAACCATTAATTAACCGTATCTCTCCAATTGGAATTATGGCGTTCCACCCACTGTTGAACAGGCAGGTGAAAATCAGTTATAGCAGTGGTTCCCAAGCTGTGGGTCAGGACCCCTAACAGGGGTTGTCAAAGCTTCATTGGGGGTCGCCAGGCCTTCTTAATTTTAAGGGAAAAACTTAAATATTCACAGTAGGTCTATATCTCAGCATTTTATTCATTTCTGTGATGGAATTGCTATTTTATTTATAAAATATTATTTAATTTATGAAATAGCTTAAATAATTGTTATACTATTTAATTGAACACAAGATATATTCACATAGTCTTCAGTCTCTGATGAACAGCCTCGTCCTGCATTAGAACAGTTCAAACAAATAAAGAGCTAATAGAGCAACAAGAGGAAAACACAGAATTTATCCAAAAAAAAGGGAAGCCTATTAAGTATGTATGATCGTTAAACATAAAAAATTACATAAAACATACAGAGAATTGTTAAAAAGGTCCTAATAATATTAGGGGAAATTTCTGTAGCTCACAGGAAATAATCTTCCTACAGTTATTGTGTACAGTATTTGGGTTTATTGTTCAGTTTATCAGTGCTCACTGAATATAACATGAAATATCTATAAAATATGTGAATTAGTCAGGGGTCGTCAGTTTACTCGATGATAGAAAAAGGTCCATTAAATAAGAAGCTTGGGAGCCACTGAGGTACAGAACTGTCAATCCGTTGTTGTGCTGGGCTGTTATTCACATACTAGGTGCTGACCTTTGATCCCTATGAGGTGGAAAGGTTAGTGGCATGTTCTACTTCTGTCAGAGTTGAGTAAAAGTTATTCTGAGTAAGGGTTTGTTGTTGTACTTCAGTTTTCCAGTACTGTATTGGTTGAAGCTGCTGTAAGACCATATTCTATCAGTAAAAAAATCTTACAGATTTATTTCATTCTTTGCATTACCAATCTCTAATGACCTATCTTAGGTTCCCACCCTTTTTAAGAAATCATTTTACAGGACCTTTCCAGACTGCAGTGTACTACAGTTTTCCTCAAATTCCTCTAGTTCAAATCTATTAGAATTTACTTTATTTTACAGAAAATTCATCTTCTAAATGAAAGTGTTTGTTGCATGTACAGTTAACATCACTGTGCATGTATTTATCAACCACAACAACAAATCTGATCATTAATAGGCTGTATGCATGCAGATATGACCGTCTGCATTTCTACTGGGCTTCCCTGAGAATTCTGTTCAAGGCTATGGAAAAATTAGGCTTAATGCTGAAAAGATCACTGCAAGACCCCTTCTCGAAATATATTTTATAACTGCAGTTTTGTAACTGCTTTTGCTTAACTTCAATTCCACATTTACATAATCCATCATAAATCTTGAATGTGACTAATATTTACATATTTCTTCATTTTCCAATAGCCAATGATATCACAATAAAAAAAAATACAACAGAAACCAGTTACCCAGACAAAAGAAACAAATCTTTGCAGTGTAGAAAAAATACAGACGGGTGACCAACTAAAGGTGGTAATAGTTGACTGCTGAGTCTCATTCCGAGGTCGTCAAAAACGCTGTTGTGTTTATTTGTTTCACAAATAACAGCATTCTTCCAAAAGACATTCCCTCAATTGGTGTTTTGATGATAGTAGTGGAGAGTGCTGTCTAGCACATCGGTCCAAAATCTCTCATAGGTGTTCAACTGAGTTGAGATCTGATGACTACGAAGGCTCAGGGTTCCCACTCTTTTATATAATAGAAATAATTTTCCAGAACTTTTTCAGGACATTTTCCACGTATTGGCCATGTATTGACACTTTTAGCTTTCAGGCAGCTTATCCTAGCAACAGTTGAGTTTCAAGCAAAAAACGCCTCCAGGTTTATGTAGTTCTGGACAACCTAAAATATTCTCAGGATTTTTGGTAAATTTAATCAATTTCTGGGTGATTCCATGACTGAAAAAGTAGTCTCTAAACTTCAAGGTTTTTAGACTTTCCAGGATGCGTGGGAACCCTGAGGCTATGGCATATGATGCACATCATTTTCATGCTCATCAAACCATTCAGTGAGCCCACATTCCCTATGGATGCATGCATTGTCATCCTGGAAGTAGACTCACAAGCCAGTCTCTAAATGCTTTGCTCAATACAGACTGAGGACGTTCTCCAAGCTTTTGCTGCTAAAACTGGGTGGAAACAATTAGAGTTTAAAAACACCTCTAGGGCAGTGATATGCATAAGTCGTTTGCTTGTGAACACATACGTCATACTATATAACGTTGCTCAGGACATCTATTTTCATTGTTTTAAAAAGCTCTCTCCGCGTTACTAAGTGATTCACTATATCTCCAGTTTGTTTCACAACAGAGGAGAATGAGGGGAGAGCATTGTTTCAGATAAAAAGCGTCCTTGAAGTGAGGGCTGTCTGTTTGTTAGCGGTTCCAAAGCATACCAGCACCCTTCGTTATGTTTCTCCACTTAGTTATTGAGGATTTTCCTTTCATTTGTCACCCGTCTGCAATAAGATCAACCAACCGTTTGAAACATAAAAAGGCAAAAAATGTCAGTAGTCTCGCGCAAAACATAAAAATGCCAATAAAATGAAAATGCACAATCCATCCGTAGATGAATCTAAGAACTGAGAGTGTGCAAGGTGCGGGGGTGGTACAGAGTCACCTTACCTGATATAGGAGAGGAACGTCAGTAAGAACAGCAGACAGGCCAAGACGTCAGCCCTGCCCACGATACCAGACACCTGCAACACACACACACATTTTACTGTGAGAGATTACTCATGTGTCAGATGGCTCTGGTGAGGAAACAGGGCTGGATGTCCATGTGGAGCCCATTATGTTGCTACGCTACAGCTAGATGCATAACTTGACCTGCTGCACATCACTGTCTCTGTGGAATCTGGCTGAGTTCATACCGAACCCCGGGAGCAGAATTACTGTGATTATGGCTCGGACAGGTGCCCATTATCACAGCCAAGAATGAGCATTAAAGCTTTTGTATAACAGCTGCCCACGCATATGCGCTGTTTGAGGATTTTACTTTGAAGTTGAGCATGCATAATGATACAAACTTGGAAAAGAACATAAAGGATTGTAATGAAGCTTGTTTCCTCAACAGTTCCTATAGTGTCTGCTAAAGAGCGAGCCTTACAAACATTAAATATTCAATGCATTCTAAGAACAGCAATCCAGGAGTTACTTCTGATAACAGTATCCTACATGTCCCCCAATGCTTTTTAACAACTCCCTCACACTTGCTTGCAATGCTACTCTGTTTAAATATGTCCTGCCAGGAGTGTGCAAAATTTTGGAACAGCGTTTGAAATACGCTTGGTATGTGTGTCAGGGCTAAGACACAAACAGCCATTAAAATACCAAAGAAGCCATTCTAAAACCTGAATGCCCCCATCCACAAGATTTATTTTCATACCTGTGGTATTAGTGGTTTTGAAAAGGTGTAGAAATGACTGAAAATGTGGTGGGGGGCACCCCACAGCAGAAGGGCTAAAGCCAGTCCTGTGGTCATGTAACATATACAATGACATTACTCATGTGTTCAATCTGGCATAGATGAAGAAAAAAGGAGGGAAGGAAAAGAGGAAGGACAGAGGCATGCTCCATACGGCTGTATCTAGGCAAAGCAGTGCTTTGAGCTAAGTGCTAACATCAGCAGTCACACTTTGACTTGTTCCGACACCAAACCCAGTATCGGAAACTCCTCTGGCACTGCCTTAAGTGCAGTATCAGCCAGTATGCGTCTGTTCATTGATCAGATACCATGTAATGTATTAGCCCCCGAATCGGCACCCTGCTACTTCTCAGCAGTGTACCGTTAGCCATTAAGTCATGACCCGCCCTGACTCTGACAAAGGGTTTAACCTGAGCCAGGATTAGTAGTATTAGCTAGGTAAAAACTATATATATAAATATATAGGAATAGCTTTTTTTTATGCACATGTATCGGATGGGTTCTCGGTATGAGAAATTGAGGAATCCGTATTGGGAAAGAGAAAATAGTATCGGACCATCTGTAGTCACACTGAAAATGACATGACATGCTGGTGTTTAACATGATGAATGAATGACTGATAGTTTTGCAGGTACTTGGTAGTTACAAATGGAACATTTGGTCCTATGAGGGTGCTAAAAGTCATCACCAAAGTCATTACAATTAATCATAAGGGGAATGTGAATGTCAGAACCAAATTTCACAGCAATCCATCGAATGGTTTTAGAAATATTTTACCCTTACCCCAACATTTGTAAAAACACACTCATGGTGGCACTAGATGAAAGGTTTTTAGGATTTGTCCCCTAGGACCCAGAAATATCAGTGCCAGTCTAATACATGTGGAGATACTCTAAATAATCAAAGACATTGACTTCACTGAAGTCAGGTAACAATCAAACAATTTAGTTCATCCCGTGGACATTGGATGGCGATCCATCCAACAGTTGTAGAGAGATTTCACTGCAAACCTAGAATGTTAAACTTGTGGCACCGAATGAAAAGTCAGGCAGCACCAAAATCTCTGTACAAAAAGTCCATAGCAAACCATACAACTGTTCAGATATTCCAGTCTGGAGCAAAGGGGTGGACTTTGCAACAAGAAACCAAGTGTAGTCTTGGACAATGCTGACACTAATATAACTGTTTTAAGTGTAGTTCAGGCAGTACAGTGACTTTGTTTCCAGTTATGAATAGGGTTGCAATGGCAGGAGATTTTCATGGTATGATAACCATCTCAGAACACATCACGGTATAACAGTATTATACAATTATTATTATAATTATTATCATCACTTACAATGACCTTAGAAGGAAAGTAATCAGAAAGGGCGTTTTTGGTTCAACAAACGCTTTAGAATTTTACAACATACATGTCCTATATTTTTTAACACTAATACTGTAAAATTCAATACTGCAGATAAGCAAATGTGCACAGTATGATAACTATCAACTTCCATACCATGGTATAACATGGTATTGGTATACCGCTGCAACCCTAGTAGAATAAATAAATGAATGAAAATGATAAGCTACAGCCTTTATACTGAAAATGCAACCTCTTACAGATGCATTACATCCATTGCTTTCCTTTAGAGCACAATAAGACATAGTATGTGATTAGTGCCAGCATAGGGTTAGAGAGAGCTGAGAGGCTGAAGAAGAGTTTCTATCCACATGCCATCCGCTTCAACTCTGAGCCTTAACCGGACTTAAAAAAACAAAACAAAACAAAACAAAACAACACAACAACAAAAAACACTGCACCACTGTAATTTCTCAATAGCTGCTTTCAATAATGTAATGTGTGTGTATATATAAGCTAACCCCTTTTAAGTTTTACACTTGGAGTTACAGTCTATATTTAGATATTACAGTCTATATTTAATGTTTATATTTACAGTCTATATTTTATTGTATATTTTTTTCTTAGTTTTACTATTTACACTTATATTCGTTTTACTTGTGTGTTCTGTGCAATCACTATGTTTTAATGTAGTAGTATTTTGTTTTCTTTACTACTGGCTGCAGTAAAGAAGCTTTACTGTGCATTGTACTAGTATAACTGTGCATGTGACAAATAAAAATCTCTTATCCTCTTATCTTATTAATTATTTCTGATCAGTTGAGCTGCCCGGCTGAAACTACCTGCTGCAGACCACTGACTGGACAGGCCTGAGCAGCAGGAATAATCAGATAATTTATAACCAACCAGCCAAACACTCCTGGCTGTGTTTGTCTGCTCTACTAGCCACCTAAGCAGCTCGGACATTTCAGGATGTATTGCAGAGCGTTGGAAAAAGTGGACAAAACTGTTAGCTTCCTGTCTGGGGAGTAATAGACAGTATGCGTTGTCTATCTTCTTAAATTCGGCAGCGTTTCTCCATTAAGTTGATCTACAGTATCAGCCGGTGGTTTTTGTGTGTGGTGGGGCGATGGAGCGGCCGTCGGCCATAGCCTGGCAAAGGAGCAGTAAACATGTCCAGCAGACACTGATAAAAAGCAGGCCGGGAGGGGAATGCGGATGGAGGGCAGCAAAGGGAGGAGGAACAGGAGAAAACAGGGGAGACGAGAGAGGGAGCAGGAGGACTTTCATGTGATATCTCATAAAATAAAGAGTGAAGGAACCTCAGCAGCTCCCACACATACACAGACTGGCACAATGATGGAGGGGAGTGAGTGGGAAACAAAAGACCAGGAGAGACATATTAAATTACAACAGGACAAAATTAGGCCTGGCTAGAATGTGTAAAAGCCCTCATTTCCAAGGTATTCAGTGCCAAAATCTGTAATCAAATGCCTTGTTTTTGTTTTATTTCAAGGTTGTATCAGACCATACACAGGGAGAATAATACAGCACACTGTTTTATTTAACACACTGGTCCTTTAACTAGCAAGGGGCCCGAGGTTAGAATCACGGCAAACATACATAATGCTGTGGTTACAGGACAACTCGTTGCTCTGGGTTTTGACAGTCTGGTCATTTACCATCATTACAGCTGGACCCATAACAGAGATTTTTTATGTAATTATTTAATTAGCTTCTCGTTGTCCAGATCATCCATGTTTTCTCCTTGTGTGAGGGAGCTACATAACATTGTTGCCTGTGTATATAAATATTTAAACTTTGGACATACTGTCTACCAATGCCAGCCTGCCTCCTTTCTATAATGTGGGATGAACACAACATGTAGCATGAGCCGCCGATGAAATGGAATATAAATGTTGAGTGTTGTCAAGCAAGGGTCCCCCACTCATCTTTGTTGTTTGCAGCCAAACAGCCACTGAAGGGCTGAAACCTCCTCTCTTCTTCCCAACTGTTTGCACACATCTGCAGGGACCATTGACCTTTGCCGTCATTTTTGCGCCAAACAAAACACATTTCTTAAAATAGAACTGTGTTTCCATTGTATATGAACGAGTAGTATGAATTGGCATGAAACAATTATTTAAAAAAAATCTTAGGTAAGGTTATATAACATTTTTGACATCGTGTTGCAGGGTGGAGGGAGGGGGATGGAGGGTCAGTTTGAGATCCATATCTGACCCAAGGACGGACAACTGAAACTGCTAACGCTATGGGGGCTTTTTGAAAAAGGGGGGAAATGCCTTCAAACAATCAGTTCAAGGCAGCACGACTACTATATAGTAACACTGGCTCCCAACTGCTAGCATGGGAAGTGTCCACCTAAAGACTTGAAGCTGAATGCTGTCTCCACAAACATGTCCAAAAGTTGGTCCACCCTCTTATAATATGATATATTAAATAAAATAACATATACAATAGCTGTATTATCATAGTTTATATTCCCTTATACAAAAAGTGAGGAAAATTAAAATTTCAGGCTGTTACATTCCTTTATATTTACTTTTTGCTGACAATTATCAGTAGGCTCTTAGTTCACTGCTGCAGATTATATGAATGGCACTGTTCCAGCAGTTTAAACCGTGCTTCATGGGCAGATTTGCAGATGATAACGCACAAATGACATTGTTCTTTAAATATCCCATCCGTCTGATATTGGAGTTTTTGTATTTGCTACAAAGTATATATTAAATCCAACTTCAAAGGATCAGTAAACCAACCACACATACTTTTTGTATAGTGATACATTCTACATACTGTTTCATATGTGGTAAAGACATTCCTACAGCAGTCTGTTCATAACAGAGGTCACTAAGAAACACAAAAACACACCCCAAACAGTGATGTCACTGCAGGTATTCTGTCTG